AGCCTGCTTTGTGTCTGTGTTTGAGAGAGAGGCAGAGAGAGAGACAGAGAGAGAAGCAGAAACAGGGACAGAGACTAATGACTGTTCGAATTAGTGATTTCCCAGTGTACTAAATACTTTCAAGTATAGCCCAGGAATTCTGAAAAGACAGTGCTAGGTGTAGATGCTCACATACATTCCGACCCCGTTTTCTCAAGGTCAGGATTTCAACTTCTCTGAACGAAGCCACATTTGAGGCCAGGTATTTGCTTGGTACACTGGAGCTCTAAGCTGCACCCACTTGAAAGCCATCAAGGGGCATTCACTGTCTGGTACTGAGTTTCTCACTTCCCTCCCTTTGAAAATGCAGGTTGACTCAAAGATCGGATTGGGCCACCAATGAGGAACCGAGTCGCCATGACAAAGCAGCCATCATGGCCCAAAACCTACCTAGTGATCAGGCCGGGCAGCCAGAGTAGAGGGAACTGGAAACCAAGTTGCCGCCTTTTTTTCCTGCCTTCATAGAACAGTCTTGGCTGTGTTTCTGGGAGGTAGCAAATGGGAATTGCTAAAAAAGGGAAGAGAAACCATTGCTCGGGGTATGGATAGCTGGGTACGGATTTCAGTTGAGGGAGGTAGAGTTGCTAAGCTTCTGTTCTTTCCACAAGTCCTAAGAGGTTCAGTTAAACACTAACACGTGGGAAACAGTGGCGTATTTTTTTTTTTTTAAAAAAGCCATTCAATGGAAGGCAAAGAAAATAGCTATTTTAATTATTTCTTTTGAAAGGGACGACCACACTGGCGGAAGAGGAACATTGAAGGCAAACAGTACCTCAGCAACATGGGGACACGAAGCACCTACCTGCTGCCCAGCATGGCAACTTTCGTGACTTCCAACAAGCCAGATCTCCAGGTCACCATCAAAGAGGAGAGCTACCCACTGCCTTTCAGCAGCTCCTGGCCCCCTTACCCAGATCACCCCCTCACTTCCTCCATGACCCCAGCACCCAGCAGCAGTCGGCCAGACCGGGAGACCCGGGCCAGTGTCATCAAGAAGACGTCAGATATCACCCAGGCCCGTGTCAAGAGCTGTTAAGCCTTTGACTTCCCCTGGTGATTGTTGGGATTTCTTGGCTTTGTTTTGTTGTTTGTTTGTATTTTATTTTTCTCTCTGACACCTATTTTAGACAAATCTAAGGGAAAAAGCCTTGACAATAGAACATTGATTGCTGTGTCCAACTCCAGTACTGGAGCTTCTTTTTAACTCAGGACTCCAGCCCATTGGTAGACGCGTATCTCTAGAGCCTGCTGGATCTCCCAGGGCTGCTCCCTCAAGTTCAAGGACGTCATAGGACCAACAGCCACACGGGCAGTGAGGTGTGCTGCATTGCCTGCGGTCAAGGCCAGCATGGTGGAGTGGATGCCTCAGAACGGCTGAGAAAATGTGAACTAGCTGGAATTTTTTATTCTTGTGAATATGTACATAGGGCAGTACTAGCGACGTTGCAGTCGGCTTCTGCACCTTATCTTAAAGCACTTACAGATAGACCTTGTGATCTTGCTCTATTTCACAGCACATTCAGCATCCCCCTTCCCTGCCCTTCATCGTGCCTCCCACCTCCATCTCCATCCCATCCCATCCCATCCCATCCCATCCCATCCGATCTCGTCCCATCCCATCCCATCCAGTTCCTTTCATCCTCTTCCTCCCTCAAAGGCTGTGTTCCACATCCCTGAGGAGGAGGAGGAGGAGAAAATGAACTTCTCCACAGATGTCCCATTTTAAGACTGCTTAAAAAAAAAAGAGAGAAAATCTTTCTAATCTGCTATGCTTGAATGCCACGCGGTACAAAGGAAAACTATCATGGAGATCTTATGCAAATTCCCAGATTTGAAGACAAAAAAATAACTCTAATTCTAACCAGAGCAAGCTTTTTTATTTTTTATACAGGGGAATATTTTATTCAAGGTAAAATTCTAAAGAAAATATAATTGTTTTTTATCTTTTCTACAGCAAATTTATAATTTTAAGATTCCTTTTCTTGTTTATCAGCAGTTATTACATCCTTGTGGCACATTTTTTTTTTAATTTTGTAAAGGTGAAAAAGCTTTTATGAGCTCATGTAGCAATCAGATTATCCTGTGGATTGATAATAAATGAATATGATATATAGTTAAATTTTTAATGGGCATCACGCCTGGCTTTGTCTCTACTTTAGAGCACACCCATGGAACAGGACTGACAAAGTGTCATTTCTTCTTGGGGACCAAAAGTTTTTCCTTTTCCACCACAAGAAACTCTGGATGCTCCTACTGTGCTGATATGAATGGCTTTCTCTGCAAAGGGCTCATCTCGAGCCAGGTGCTGTGTGGAAAGTTTTACAGGTTACCCTCCGTACTCATCCAGGTTGTGTACAGGGGTAAGGGTTTACCTCCAGTTCACGTGGAGGAAAAGGAAATTTAAAGTGAAAATGCCTTTACTTGAGGTTATATAGGTAGTACGAGTGAAGGGCGTGCGTTAAGATCAAGTCTGGTGTGACCGTGCAGGGAAGTCTTTTTAACAGCTGCACCTACTACTCTCCACTGCTGTGAGCAGATGCCACCCACCTCCGCTTTCAAGACTGGGAAATGCTTGTTAGGTTTCTACTTTACATGCGTCTTCTTTCTAGGACTTGGGGCTTTAGACGTAGAATCTGCCCTTAGAACTTGGGGCATATATTTTCAGGTGAGAAATGAGAATTCAAGAACCCCAGACTCCATCACCCATTTGGTATTTCCAGGTGTATCCTTGACCTTAGGAAAGCCATTGTACTAACCTCTCATGCTCCCACAACGTCCATAAAATCAGGACAGGAAGACTTAGCTACCTGCCTACTACCCCGGGGGTGTTGTGGGGAGATTACCAAGTTAACATTTGAAAAGGTTTCTTCAGGGAAAGAACAAAGGGCTGTTTTTATGCCTCTCTCAGTGTATGGCTGCAGATATAATTAGGGGTCATAAAATTATCCAGCCCTGAACAAAAATTAACTGAAGCATTTTACTGGTTGATGTGTTGTCGTTGAAATGCCGCATATTGATGGTTGACCGCTTCTGTGAGGAGTACTTTGTTGACCATGCGTTTACCTCCATTTCACAGGAAGGCCTCACTTTCTTAGTGAAAGGAGGAGTCACAAGGAAGAAAGAGGTGCTCCAGGTCTCCTCGGCACCGTGCTCTTCAGTTAAGGCCCGCTCTTCTCCCAGGTCTTAAATAAACGAGTCTTCGTGACTTATTTCTAAATCCTTTTCGTTAGTCATCCTGTTTTAAAATGTTGCCCTAAGTCCTATGCCCTGGCAATTGAAGGGTTAAGGGTAGCCCTGTTCCCTGTCCCCCTTCCCTCTTCCCAACACAGAAAAGGCACCCGACTCCCATCCTGCCCCTTTCCGCAGCTTCGCAGGTGCCAAACTTCATCCCATTTGCCTTTCCCACTTCTATGATTGTAACTGGAAGAACCTTACCAGGTAAAAGAAAATTCAGGATTTGGAAATGCACAGTTGAAGAACTAAAAATCATCCACTGCTAATGAGGCCATGAAAAACAGAATCACGTTTAAATTATTTCTGAGGAAGGCTGTATCGTTTCTAAGAATTATGCCAGCAGTTTTGGAAACAAGCTAGTGATACAGAGCAGTGCCTAGGGTCTACATGAGAAGGAAAAACCAGTGAGCTGGGGCATTTCATGGGCTCAGACCTTGTCAGAAGAAGTACTAGGGACGTGCTTAGTTGGGCTGGCATCTGCGTGAGCTGACATGCTTTCATGATGGGCTTGGTTATGTGTATATGTGTGTGTGTGTGTCTTAAGTAGCAAGTGCCATGTGGCAACCTTTGGAACAATAGTCTCCATTCTTTGCAGCCAGCACCCAGGTCCCTCCCTGATAATGAGGAGCATTGTCCAGCTGTAAACTGTGACTCCAGTGACAGGAACTGTTGCCTTCTCATAAGGTTGAACAAACCCAGCATATCCTGGAACTGCGAAGGGCTTCCAGAACACCATTTACAAATGTCTAAATAAATTCTTGCTGAAGCATAGTATTTTTTCCATGTTTTGATGAAGTAACTGCCAGGGGAGGTGTTTAGTCTATTTAAATGTATTTATAGAGAAGAAATAGACACGGATAACAAATGCACAGAACACAAATCTATTGGAAATTAAAATCCGAAAATAGTGTGCCCCCCACCCCCCCCAAAATTTAAAGCGTACTAACTATCAAGTAACTGCTACAGAGATGAAAATGTTAGGAAGGAGGAAGATTAGTGATTTGGCTTCAGGATTCTAAATTTTCGAACTTGTGCTTTTGGAAGTATTTTGCATGTGAATGAAAAAGATGTCAAGCCCCAAATGGCCTCCTGCCCTAAGCCAGAGAGATGGAACATTAGACATTCCATTTGCTTGAGGCCAGTCTCTGAATGTTGAATTAATTAAGTTTTAAAAGCCCCCTGTTATTCTAGCAATGGACAAACAGACCCAGATAAAAGGTGAAACTAAGAACCCACCATTCTGCCAAATTTCTACTAAAGAAAGACAAAAAAACATGCTGGGGAGAGGCTTATAAGTAGGTAGCCAAGATGGGTCCCTGGCATACAGTGTCAGCTATCCAGTGTCTCAGTACCAGTTTTGGTTTGGAAAGAGAATGGAGGCAGAAACTGGTTCTTACCTGGTGGTGTCCAGCTACCTCATCCTGAAATTCCATCCTGTGGCATACCCAGGGCCAGGATGCTCAGAGCCAGTGGAACCTGAAGCTGACCATCCAGGGGGCCGGGAGCCAGCTTTCCATCTGTTCCCAGGCTGCAGCAGACCCCTCCCCCAAGGATGTCACAGTCTATGGGACTGTAAGCTTCTGAAGCCTGTGTCTCACAGTCACATTTGCTTCCCAACATGTGGAATGAGGTTGGCTATACACTAGGCAGTCACCCCCAGGATCTCCTCCTCCTCTGGGATCACCACACGAGTGTCAAAAAACAGGGCTGGGACCTTGGGCTGCGCCCGCCCCTTCGGATCATGGCCAGCCGCAGACCTGGAGAGGAGAGCCCAGTTGTGCTCGGCTTCAGATCAGGAGATGCAAGAAGATGGTGGGTGAGATGTTTGTTCCCTCCTGAGGCTGCTTGGCCTCTAGGCCCCCACCAGCCTTCCGGACACTGAGACCATCCCTTGCCTCTGCTTGGGCATTGCTGACCCTGCTGTGTGGACAAATGAGGGTTTTTTTGCAGAGGCTGCTTTCTGCGGCCACAGTAACAACAGGTGCAGGAGCTCCTTGTCTCTGCTACTGAAAATAGTGCCTGCAAGGAAGGAAGTGGCCAAGGCTAATAGCTGGTCTTAGCAAAAATGTTAAGTCTGTCCAAGAACTTGAGTCATGCTGTGAAAAGATCAAGATGTAAGACATTTCAGAGTTCACATAGTCTGAAAAGAGCATTTTCTGGAGTCCTTTGACGAATTAAGAAGAAAAGTAGTGCGTGTGCCTCTGTTCCTCTAAGCAAGCTGCCCTTTGGAGAGTTGGTCAGTTTCTCTGTATCTGCTTTATAAACATGTTCAAACAGAGATTGCTGGCTCTGTGGAATGTATTGTGCTGGATTGTGCAACTGCTGCTCGGTTAACCCCTTACACGCATGGCCGGAGAAACACCGCTGTCACGTGCAACAGCCTGTGCGGCGAAAACGGTTGATTTTAGTAACGCAACTGTTTTTGCAGGTGCAAAACAATTCCAGGGTAATGGTATCTCTAAGTTTCAGTTTGAGTTGAGAAGAACATCTTA